GGTAAAAGGATGTAGTAGGGAATATATAGGAAGTGGCCATCAGCTTAGCTGGCCAGGTGGATGAAAACTTGGGATATATAGTGGGAAATTTCGGGAATAGGGTGTGAGTGTTAGGTGCAGATAGGGTGCCCAGGTTTATCTGTACTCAGTGAGGTAGGTACACTCCTAGCTTAGACCAGAAATAAAATAGAAAAGTCAAGCTTTTCAGTGTGTGAAATCTGTTTGTATACACAAATATCCAAAAATAGAGCCAAGTATTGTCAAACATCAATATGGTACTTTGATGTCACGATCCAATGTGTAATCTAATCAAAAGGTGTGTAGTTCAACATACGTGGCAATATTTAATTCATGTCCTCATTTATATTTACATGACAATTATTCCTGCATTATCAAGTTTGTATTTAGTACACTTGGACTAAAAGAAGCAAGGCCATCAGGTTTCCTTATGTCCTATCTATTACATACTGCACTTTTGTCCAGTAAATCAAAATCTTTTAGGAGAGACTGTCCCATTTATCCACATGTTGTATATCATCTATCAAAAGAATATACAAATATTTCACGTTGACACATGTAGTGCCATTCATTAATAATTAAGTATAGTAGATACAATTTTACAAAGGGAGTGGGGACACTACGTTAACCAGTAATTTAATCAGCCTGGTAATTAATAAGTTCATCTATGTATGTAGTCTGTGATGTAAAGTTATAATCCAATGCAGTTTCATTGTTCTGTCCCATCCCTTCATGTTGAGTATAAAGTAATGTATTGGGCGATTGTAGGATAAATACAGCACATTGTGAGGATTGTAACCTTGATAGATCAAAATCTCAATTATAAAAAAGCAAAGTTTCAAAAATATTACATTGCTATCAAGTCTTGCTAAATGTGTTTTTATTCCTTAAGTAGTACTTACTCCAAGTGGCCATTGTTTTCCCTATATAAAAAATGGAATTGGTAAAAGTCATGGAAATAATTACAAATATGAAAAATAAAACTATATGGATCATGAAATGGAATCAATGCTGTGTTTGTTTCCCTGTGTACAAATGGAATTTATGAAAGACATGAAAATTATTATAAATATAATAAAACTTTAAAGATAATGAAATGGAATCAATGCTGAGTTTGTTTCCCTGTGTAAAAATGGAATTCATATTAAACATGGAAATAATCACAAGTAAAAGAAGCTATATAGATAGTAAAATGAAATCAATGCTGAGTTGTGTTTGAAGGAGAACTACTGCCCTTGATAGTTAACTGGTGAAAATGTCAATAATGCACTAAGGAAGTAGAATGTTTTATGTTGAATTTCATGATCTGGTGAATATCTCAATCTGAAGTGAGTCTGTTGCCCTTTATCATTGAAATGTTATGAAGGTTTCGATTCTCGATATCCTGTATGTATATCAGGCAGTCTTGAATTTTGCACAGGGTCTCTTTCAGACTGTTTGATGTATATACAAGCAAATCATGGATTCGGTTTAAGGTTTGCTTAACCTCCCAGGCTGTGTTAAAAAATCAATAAATAATTGGTATGGCATACCCAGAAGTGATACAATTTGGCAATTGATACCACAAAGTGGCCACATGGAACTCAGAATAGTGTGTCACTTATCATGTCTTGCAAGGTAAAATATATGTTATTTCATATTTGAAGTGTGATAGTCGTGGCCAAAATGCTTCTGTAAAAGTGAAGCATATCTGGCTAGTTATGTCTGAAAATTGAATCAACTTGAAGAGAACATGCAATGTAATATTATCTCAATATTTACCTAACAGATTTGGGTTACTGTATTCTGTTTGCATTATTAGGCTTTGGAGTGGTTCCTCAATGGCACACTGTAGTCCATTGTGTACCTCAAATCACAGGTGTTGGTTGTATTCCCAGTTTACAGAAGCACAACAAAACAATTTGCTAGAAAATGCATTTGTGAAAGGAGTTGTTAAGCATTGAAAAAATCATGAACTGAAAGATAATCATATTATAACTGTCATAACATACATTTCTTTTTGTTTATAAATGCACCTGAGAGGATCTCCTGTTTATCGCTCAATGACGAAGCCACCAGCTACTGCAAGGAGACCTGCTTAAAATGGCTCTGGCTGGTGGTGGTGGGGGTTTCATTGTAGAGACAAAACAAAATAATACCTGTGTAGGTTATGATACTGGAAATAAATGTAACGTTGATGCAGAGGAGCAAGTGATAATGTTGCATTCAACCTTTCCCAGTTCTAAGCTCTTCAACAAAATTCTCTAATTCTTGTATAAAAAAGCAACAAACATATCAATTGGTATTGATTGTATTTTCATTTTACTGTATGGGTAATATATCTGATAAGGCTGTATAATGTATTCCTGATATAGTGAAGCATATTAATGTGGAGTGTTACATGTTAAATCAAATGATTATCAAACCACAAAAACTTTGACATATTGAGAAATATTCATGTCTCACTGAAGTTCTTGTTTATTTTACGGACTTTACATTGAGAAATATTCATGTCTCACTGAAGTTCTTGTTTATTTGACGGACTTTACATTGAAAAATTTTCATGTCTCACTGAAGTTCTTGTTTATTTTACAGACTTTACATTGAGAAATATTCATGTCTCACTGAAGTTCTTGTTTATTTTACAGACTCAACATTGAGAAATATTCATGTCTCACTGAAGTTCTTAATATTTGACGGACTCAACATTGAGAAATATTCATGTCTCACTGAAGTTCTTGTTTATTTGACGGACTTTACATTGAGAAATATTCATGTCTCACTGAAGTTCTTATTAATGTGACAGACTTTACGTTCATTAATCTATGAATTCAAGTTCTTATGATAAGAATAATAATATGAATATGTGTACCCAGATTTCCCACATATACGATATCCTATAAAATATTGTAGAATTATAGGATTGTACTGGATGTTACAAAATGGGATAATTCCACATGAACGCCTTTTAAGGTGATTACTGTATTTATATACAATAGGCTTACTAGCTGGGGAGTTTCATGGATATTTATTAAGGTAGGAGACAAAACAAGTCATGTATATACCCGTTTATGGCAAAATGTAACACTGACTATGGTAATGAGATTATGGTATTGAAAAGGACAGCTTATTTCTGAATGGTACGTAAACAGTATCGAAGACGTCTGTCAAGTTTCCCAAACTGAATAATGCTGTAGATTTAGCATACTGTTAAGAAATTACAGATACATTCAATTTAATCCAAGACTGGCCAATAATTATCTGTAAACTTGAAAGCTAATTCTGTTGAAAGTTTACATGTGTATACATATATTGTGTTGGTGCGTAATGTGTTTTGTTAGTTTATTCTGAGCAACAACAAGTAAATAAAAGCATATATTTGCATTTGTAGGTTTAAACCTCCCAAAATAAATATTTTTCTGAACACATTGCAACTGAATGGCATTTTCTGCATAAATGGGGTACAACATGGTATGACAAGCAATATAATTTTAGACTTATATGTCAATAGCCTCTTGGCTGTTTATATACAATGATCCAACAGAAATTATACATTAAGAAGTTCCTAACAGAGATTCTGTGTATTGTTGTCGGAGACTTGTCGAACTGATGATTCCATGATCTGATAGGATACTGTGTTATGTTATCATGGTCACCAAGTCATCTCTGCAAATCACAGACAAAGTATTAGCATACATCACTGTAGAACCATGAAACAATAAATATCTGTGATACTTTGATCTATCATTGATTTGTTCTTAAACTCTTCAAGTGTGATAAAAACAAATGGAAAATGTAATTGTAAATTAAGAAAGTCCTTTTAAAACAACCTTTACTAATAAATTTACTAAATAGAATAATAGCAAAATGGGAAAGGAATATTGATCAGTTTGACTTGATACCTTCATGCTAATACACCTCATTTGATGCCAAATTTTTTATCAAATAAAAACTTCAATAAGTGTTAATCCAATTATCTGATATTGATGTAGTGTAATTCACTCTTAAGCAAATACAAGGAGATCATCGGAACTCATTGATGAACCCAGGTCACGACAACCTGTGTGAAACATTCACACTGCAAACTTCAGTGAGGAACCATTGTGGAAGCCCAAACAACTATATACATCCGACAAGTCATCATTATCAGGTCATTCCGATGTAACCCTGCGTGTCTCTGACCCTGCCCGAGTCTCGCACAATGTCGTTTACATAGGAATTCACAGCTTTTAGGTAGCACTGTACAACGTCAACACAGTAGTGGTATAGGGATCACTCTCTTGAAAGCCCTGTAATCAGAGTGAAATATTACAGTGGTGTGTTGAGATACTAAAAGGTCTGATAAAAAGTTCAATGTAGACCACCTGACTCCTGTTACTATAATTAACATACCTTGTTTTTGGTATTTAATTTCTTAGTTTCAGTAAATGATCTATCTAGTTAAAACACAGACATATGGCAAACTGCATCAGACTGTTTATGTAGTCATATATGAACTTAATCTTTATTTAGAAAATAAACTAAACTGATTGGTATAAGACAACGGTAAAAGAAAGCTGTTATCCCTTTCCCAAAATTGTTTATTTAATGACAGGTATACTTAATTACATACTGAAGGTGAAAAGGTTAAAGCTTGTAATTATAATGTCTTTTTTTTTCGTGCAACAAGTGTTTATTTATGTTTGGTTGTGTGTATTACAGGTAATCCAAAAAGCTCTATAAATAGCTGACTTCAGATTTATTTTAAACATGCATGTTTGCTGATGATACCTTAGGAATAAAAGTTGGTGTGAAGAGTGTTAACATTGCACTTATTTATATAGGATTCGTTTATTTATGAACAAATCAATGTACGTGTATATTCCGGGATGGCATTACTGTGATGCTTGTATGTACAAGTTCAGATAAGGAAGGAATTTTGTGTTACACACCATGACCACCTTTTTGATACAAACTCGTCAAGATCATTTTCCATTTCTTAATCCATTATTTTATTTTTACAGGATGATTCAGACGACCATAACTGCAACCTTGATATGGATGATGTATTAAATTGTGACACAGAAGCTGAAATACGAGAATATGCATCTGTAAGTATTTCTGGAATTATTTTTCATTGGCAATATAGCATAATATCTCACAGCTTTTACTGAGTCGCAACTCATTAAAAAATAATATCCAATTTGTAGCTTATAACTGACATTTTAAGCCAAGATCCGAAAAAATATAGCAGCAAACTCATATTTATCTGGCAATATAAGCCCATGTCTCATAATAAGCCCACCCTGCTGTTCAGTAAAATTAAAACCATACCGTTATCTATGGTTTGGACTATTCAGTGTTTAAATATGCTGCAGTGCAAGTGATTGTTATTTTGGTAACATCGGCAGACCATCTTTTATGTAACATTCTTCAACTCTCTGACCATTATCAACTATGCTGTGTAATACTAGGTGCACTTCGAGCTATCACAGTATTTGTCGGTAATTTATATCGCTATACTTATACATGTTTGCATGCATGGTTTGTGTATGTAAAGGCTTCACTATGACATTGAGATCCCTGGTACTACATCACTACACATGAACAACTGTTTCAGTGGCATATATCTAGTTTCTGAGATGTATACGGATTTGAATCTTCTCCATGGGAATAACAGAACAGGCAATTAAACTAGATAGTTGTATCTTAGAAATTTACCACTGGTACAGAGTAGGATCTGGTACCTATCAGTAATCGTCTGTAACAGTCTCCCATATTCAATGCAAGTTAATAATGACAAGCAGACTTGTTAAAAAATGTTAAAAACTTCAAGCTGCTTATTTCATCAATGCAACTGAAAATTTCTACAGTGCAGCTGCTACCAGTCAGTTAGCTATTTATAGTCAGCCATTGAAAATTGTATTGACAGGATTGATAGGGTCATGGCTGGTCAAATTGGAGATGGATTGTATTACATATATTTCTAGTTTTAGAGGATAAACATTCTGTAGAGCTGCGGATTCATTGATTAAGAGATGAGAACAACAACTGAAATTGTAAGGTTGACTTGTAATTGGTTTCAACAGCTGTTTATCAAATTATTTAACAACAGATATTAGAGGTTGATGTCTTTGTTTATAATAAGGCATATTAGAAAATACTAGATATGTAAACAGAACTTTTAATTGAATTAAGAATTGATCAGATCATCATTAGGATGAGATGTGACAAATCAATTAAGGTTTGCAAAGAGACATGAAACAGAAGAAAATTTTTTTTTGACAACACCAGCAAATTTAGGACAAATCTTGATCATAACACTTTTTCAATATTTCTGTTTTGGATTTAATTGAAGTAGTTTTAGCAGTTTTGTAGCAGAATCCTAGCAAGATTTTTTATTAAAGGAATGGTTTAAGATTATAAAAAAGGAAGTCTTTCTTCCTGTGTCTGGTGTTTCCTAAAACAACTGTCCAGACTAATTATACCACTAAACTGTGATAGTGCTTGAAATTTCAGAATTTAAAATAGATGGGGGAGGAATGTTTATTATATGTACATGGGCTGTCCATCCACATATTTATTTAGGTATGTACATAGCACAACTTTTTCTAATCTATCCCCAGGGGTCAGTCTGGGGTGAATCATCATATTCATCAGCACTGTGGGCTATTAGTCAAGTCTGCAAATCTTAACTGACATACCATAGCTATAGGTTTGCTTTCCATATACATACTCTTCCTCAGGTTATATAGATCTTTCTGGTTGGTCTTGCCTGAAGGCCAGCATTTGGTTCACAACTGATTATTTCATTTATAATTTTGAATTCAGAAAAAGGAATGACAAAAACTGAGAAACTGTTAATTGCACATTATGTTCGTGAAATTTTAAGGTGTATAAGTATGAAATTACAATCATTTTATTTTACTGTTTCATTTTGTTACTACAATACTGACATTACAAAAGATAATTATTATGATTATTACAATCGTAACGGCCCGTGAACACCTAAAAGGTCATTAGGGCCATCAGCTGGTGAGATACACAGCAATCCAAAAAATAAATTACATCAAACGAACTAAAGGTAAAAGATATACGCTGAAAATTGTAAATGGTTAATTACAAAAGATTTTTGAGACATACATTGGATAACATGCATTTAGGAATCAGGCCTTTTTAAAGACTTTTTGAGGCCAGTGTTTATCCCAAGTGAAATGATTATTCTATTTAATACACAAGAACAGTTTCCACCTAAAGATTTCCTTCCCAAAATATGATAAAATTCCCCCTTTAAAATTGCTTATAACCCTTATAAAGCAAATAGATAATGAGAACATAATTATCAAGCACATATTGGGCACTATTGTGTTGCATGGTTATTAGTGTTTACTAGAATGAGAAAAATTACGGTTGGCCATAATTAAGGAAAAGATACAAATTTTGAAAAATGAAATATTACTAACTAATTGGATAATTACGATTCCTGTTCAGAGCACCTTGTGTATTGATCAATCACAATCTCTTCCAACATCTATGTATAAATTCAACATTAAAATGGTAATATTGTACATTAGGTGTGTGACTTATACCATACGTTCTTTCAGATCAATAAATTTCATTAATAGCTTCATGAATAATTAATTCAGCATTTTATCCAATATGTTGTCTGCTTTTTGAAAATTTATCTGATGTATGTGTTTTTACTGACATATCTGCAGTTTCCATGTGGTATAAATTGTTCAGAGACGTACTACAGAGAGTTTTAGAATTCGAGACATACACACCAGTCAGTGGGTGCACTTATCCTGTCTGCTGTGAGCATGCAGAACTTATACAGCTCACATGTAAATCTGTCAGGGCTGGTCTGTATCCCTGTAATCTAGTGTTAAATGTACAATTCTATATTTTATTTTTGTTCGCCTACATTCATCCTTGAAACGTTGTCAAATCTGATAGAAGTTTCGACTTATCAGTCAATGATTCATACACCTTGATTTTGATAGATAGAAAATAAAGTGCACCAAATCATAGTGATTGATAACTGGTGGTCTTATAACGAAGGTCATTCTTTCAATGTATCCGCCATGATTTTAACCAAGGATTTTTGGTTTTGTAGTCCAATGCTCAACTGATTAAGCTGTCTCTAAGATTTTAAGAATCAATCAAAAATGTTTGTCTGACACAAGTTATGGACCTTTGTATAATGCTGCTTCGGAACTGTTTGTTGGTCAGTTCTGGATATTGACATTGTACTGATAAAAAGTCGCCTAATTCACCTGATTGGATAATCATTAATTTCACTCACACACAGGATATATTGTGCCTGTCTAAACATACATAATGATTAGCTTTAATAAGACTTATGTTTGTAGTGTGTAAACATTTTGTCATCCAATTAAATATGTTCTTGACAACATTGTAGCTGAAGGTAGCGTATGTAGCTATCGCCTTGCAGTTAATTTTCTATTGAATGCTGAGAGTTCACTTATGAAAACTAGCTAGTGTAAAAAAAAAATAGTGTAAAAAAATAAACTTGTTTGATACTTTTAAAAAATCAATTTTTTAGATATATATATTTCATAAAGGAGTGTTTGTTGAAAACATGTCATCAGTTTTAGCTCTATTGAGATGAAAGACCAAAAACCTGATGTCATCTTTAATCATCCTTCTGTCTATTCTTGGCTATAACTGTTATCAATACAAACAAAAAGCCTACTATAGTGAATAGGGCATGGTGTCTATATATCAAAGATGACCGCAATCTCGAGAATTTTGTTATGACTACTGTTCTTAAGCATTGACCTGCATATACATGGTTCATTATAAAATGATGGCCTTACTGAAATTAGACTTCTGCCAATATTCAGTGCCACAGTTTACATCATGTAGTTTATTCCCTTCATGATGTAGGTCTTATTTTCATAGCAAAAGCTTCATATATTGTTAACACAGATAGCCAAAGATTTGGTGTTCAGAGATATCTTAACTGTCACATTATCCTATCAAACTTGATTGACTTGAAGTAATTTTTGTCGGTGTATATGTATGTTAAAGAGAACTGGACATACATTTGTAGGGAAAGTACAGATTACTTCCTGTGTATAAATAAACATGATTTGATGTTAAATGAGGGATATTTCCTGTGATAAATTATACTATGTCAGGTAGTGTAGGGAGCATAGTGTACTTGGTGTACTGTAACACTGACACACTGTCATCCCTGTCAATCAAGCTCCATCATACACCTCAGTGCACCTCCCACACTTCAAATCACACTCCATTACCTTAGTATGGTGTTAATGATTGGAAATAAAACATAGCAACATAATTAAATTAAGAAATTAATCTATCTACAAAATGACCAGAATTTAAAATCCATTTGCTCAAAATTTTATAGTAACCTCAAAGTAAAAAGTGACCTTTCTATAATGGTTGGTTCCCAAAGTCCATCCCCACAATAAAGATAAGGATATGCTCCAGATTTCATTAACTTTTTAATTACCAAAGTTATTCCTCAACGTTCTTTATATTTAATAAACTTATAACTTCGGGATTTCTGAATGTGTTTGAAACAGGATACTTGCATTGTCTAAATAGGCAGATGTTGAAGCTAACAAAATTTCTATGGTTTGTCCATCAACTTGATGAGAAAATAGTCCTCAACATTTTTCCTTGTTTCATATATACTACAGATAACTTTTATCTTCAGAGATTTCGGATAAAGCTGAGTCATATAACTCTGATGTTACCATATTTCAATTCTCTTTTAGAAAGAACAAATAAAATTTTACAAAAGCGACTGATAATTGAAAAATTGGAGCATTTTTTACTTGAAAAAAAAACGTATGTAGACAGTGTATCACTCTAGGAAAGCTAATACTTACAATGTGCTGCAATGACTTTTCAGCCCTTGTCCTACATTCATCAATATCCAGACCCTGTTATTCATTTATGGCATTTTGTTTAGAGAGAATGTTTATAGAAACTGGTTGATTTGTTTGGGGGTTAAGTATACAGATATACTACTCATCATTAATACCACCCTTAGATACACAGTGTCACTAGTAAACAGTAAGGTGGAAAATCAATGCTGTGGGAACTGAACCACTTT